GCGGGACCTTTGCGCTGCTGGATAGTACCTATCTTCCCTTACACTTCCTCTGTTCCCATTACTCCCTCTATTACCATTACTCCCTCCGGGGCCTCCTCTACCTCTCGCTCTGCCTCTAAAGTTTCCGTAACCTGCCCTGGGTAAGTCTCTCTCATACTGCTCTCTTTGCGGACACTCGTTCCTCCAATGCCCTTCTTCCTTACAGTACGCGCACTGATTCCTACTCAAAGGCTCCCTATTCCATCTACCATCGCCTCTATCTGGGCCCCGTCTATCTACGCCTGCGATCGCTACCGCTAGCATATCTGCCTTTCTACGCATCTTGCGCTCTTCCTCTTTCTTACTTTCTGTTTCCCTATTCATATATACTTTGTTCGCTACCTCCATTAGTTGGGTGATAGACATACCTGCAAACCCTTCTAATTTCTGTAGCTTGCGCTTAATATCTCCGTAAGCTTGGCTGACAAAGGCGGAGTTTACCATTCGGGAATTATCAGCGTCTTCCGGATTAAAGGGGGTATACAAGCGGTATGCCTCCAATAATCGGTCATAAAAGACACTGGGCGCTTCATCACTTTTCTGAATCACCTCAACTGTCTTCGACATGTTAATAGCTTTCTTCCCTCCGGCTTTCATGCCAGCAATTATAGCATCTCTATAGGCTTTAAGTTGAGCCATATCTGCGCCATTTACATTCCAGTCAGGATCGGTGTTAGGGTAATGTGTTGCGGCCCATGCTGCCGGATTGGCTTGATTTAAAGCACGGGCTCTCTCCTCTAGCGCCTTAATGGCCGCTTGGTTAATCCTTGTCCTTTCCTCATTATTGAACAATGTCATTAATAACTGCTGGCAATCAGCCCATGTCGGGTTATGTGTCTGAACTATCGAGGTGAACAGATCGGTCATAGCTTGTGGTTTCTCAGTGTACGAGGAATTGTGGGTCTTCCAATTCAAGAGATCGGTAGTCGTGAACGGGACATATACGAAGACTGGGTCAGCATGTGCCATTTGACCTGCGGCATCGATATAGGCTGACCCAGGATTCAGACGAAGAGGCATCTGATAATGTTTTAATTGTTGGGTACCGGTCAGTTGTCGGGTTAGTATGGGGCTACGTGGAGGGGCGTCAGTTAAAGGTTCCGGTCGAGAGGTAATAGGGCATGAGGATGTGGGAACTTGATTTTGGGAAAAGTTAGTGAATAGTATACTCCGAGCCGAGCTAGAAGAAGCTTGACCGGAAGTTTGAAGTGGCGCCAAATCAGGATATTCAGATCTAATGGGGGTTGGTCCTGGTTCCGGAAGGGGAGTTTTAATACGAGGGGGGGTGGATTCTGTACTGGAGGAGGAAGCGGAAGTGGATGGGGGCAATAGGGGAAGGGGTGCAGAGCTTCCTGCATTCGCGTCACTTCCTCTTAAAGGAAAGTAAGGGGGCGGCAAAGGGATCTCGGACTCAGGGGGCGTGTCCAAAATGGGCCTAACACCAGTCCTAGTGGACAAACAAGTCCTGGCCACCATGAGGCGACATTGCTCCTCGTGGCATATCCGGATCCATTTTGGCGAGTCGTTTACGGCCTGCCCCCAACAATCAATGTATGGAAACTGTCCGTAAAGTTCAGGCCTACCTGATACAGCCACGTGTACACGCTGTACCAGGATTGGATCCAAACTGCCACGCGGCGGCCATGCCGCAACCAAAATAGGCCACTCCCTAGTGCACAAAGTGACCAAACGTACAGGAGACATTTTAACCCCAAAATCACATGTTTTGAATCCCTTTTTAAAATTCTTTACCATACAACCTAAGGGATCCGAAATCGTTGACTCTGACGCGCCCATACTTATCAATGGAGCGTCGTTGACAACGAATACTATGCACGCGTTCTTATTCAACAGTCACACCCGTTTCCTCTGGCAACAGCACCACGTGGTACAGTTACCGAGTGAAACGTACACAATAACACAATAATCACTCAGGGAATTCCCGTACACACACAGCTGTTACACCAGTCACTAAATAATCAATATTATGCCCTTTGGCGAAACTATACAGTCACCCACGCTATAATTCTCTATATATGAATTACCCGTCTATAACACACCCCAGTAACATCGTCTTTTACTAGTATCGGTTACAGTACGGTTAGCATAGGTCAAAGCACAATTTAAGGTCACAATACAATTATTAGTGGTTACGGTGTTAAACATGCAATAGACGACAATGATTAGTACTTATATACAGTGTCAGTAAATATACAGGGTTATGGTACCGTGCACTATGATACAGCAACACACTATTAACACTCTCGCTAGACGGCTGAGCTCGCGCTATCTAACAAGATATACACTTTACTAACAATCTTTAACACATTTACAATCCCAACTAAACTATTGGCCAGTACCTTGAATGGACTACCTAAAACTATATACACCCGTTTTGGTTAGCCACACTGCCCAAACACCACATATAGCGAACTAGAGGGCGAAATTTACAAAATTGCCCTTCTAGTCTATTTACTCTATCAAAAGTCTAGTGGGTTCCAAATTTACACGCCTTCCCACTTAGCCAAGATAGGTTGAGAGCTAGCGAACCGAATTTACACAGGCGCCGCTTAGTCTCCCGGTCCCTCCGACCTAGCGAACGTAATATACACCCTAGAACGCTAGTCTAGACAAGACACCGGTGTCCGGCTAGGGCTATTTACACAGGACCCCGCCTGACTAACCAGATCAAACGGTCTTACTAAAGAGCGTTCGATCGAGCGGTGCGCCTTCGCTCCTTCCCTCCGACAGAGGGGGCAGATTCCATACACAGATTTAAACCCCTTTTGGGCCTACCGCACAATCGGTATACCCCTAGTGGGTCTGCCGTCTAAAACAGCAGTTGTCTTACCTCCTCGTTCCTGAACCTGAGTTCACACTCATCGACGGGGACACCCCAGCACTTCTTACGTAGAGGCCGATGATCTCCTGGACAACAGACCAGTGGCGCCGAGACGAAGGGAGGTCCACGCAGAAGTTCAGGGGTGCAGCCGTAGAGAACGTGGGCAAAGATAGACCGTCTCACGCCTCTGCCTCTCAGCTACCGTTGAACGATGAGCTTCCCGGCCAATGCACCAAATGATACCGGAGAAACTGACGGAAGCAAAGCACAGAGGGATGGACACAGGTTTCTTCAGGAAGGAAGAGATTCTTTATTGGATCACCGATCGGGACTCAGAGGGACTAATGTCACCAAAAATACAGCAAGTTCTGAGCCCTGAACAATAGTGCAGGCTCCCTATATAGGCACATAACTCCTCCCATATTAAGCTCCACCCGCACATTCTCTTGACCAATCATTACAAATAAGAATTAACTTCCTGCTTGACCGCATGGCTTGTCCAGCACAATGGAGGAGGGGAATACTACATCCTGTATTCTTGCACATGCTCCGTACACTACTGATCGTATCTTGCCTCGTGCAACCAACTGATCGATACGTCAGCATATGCACGTACACATGCCACGTGGTAATCTCGGCCTACTAAATTTATTTTTACCGAGATTCCACCACAATAGCTCCACAAGTCTTTATCAGGTAATGCCTGGAACACCTCAGCTGCCTTTCTGGTATGTTTGCCAGCTAAGATGGGTACCCAATCATAGGAGTTATCTGGTGTACCTGGGTGCTTGGGAGAAGGTCTCCCTCTTTGCCATTAACTATCTTGCCTGCTCTCTCTCCTGGGGGCTTAATCTGTCCCCTAACTGAAATTGTTCTAAGGCTTCCAATGATAGCATTTTCATTTAAAGTTGTTATGGTGACCAGAATGTTCCTTTAATTTGGTTAAAGGAACACTACAGTGTCAGGAATACAAACATGCATTGCTGACACCATAGTTGTGAAAACACTGTTCACCCTGGCTTTATGTTATAATGACTATGCCCCTTCCCTTTCATGACACTGTCAAAAAGGGACCAAGCATGGATGTCATTACAATTATGCCCCCCCCCAGTAAAAATTCCTGCGTATGTCCATGTTTCCATAGTTTCATCTGCAGAACTAGATAACATGTAAGTGGTGTCACTGAGTTGTTCTACTACTTGGTAGGATCCCTGCCAGGCGGCTTGCAGTTTGTCATGTCATGCCGGTTTTAAAACCATAACCTTTTGTCCGACATGCAATCTGTGAGTCTGGGTGACTCAGTCATACCAAACGCGCTGCCACTTTTGGGCAGCTTGGAGGTTCTCTCGGACCGTCTAGGTAAGTTGTTACATGCAGTCCCTTAGCTCTAGCACGTATGGTATAATCGGAGATCCTTCGATCTCGGTCTCCGCTTCCCAGTGCTCCCAAATAAGATCAAAGGAGCCTCATAATCTTCTCCCATACAGGAGCTCAAACAGGGAGAACCCAATGGATTCCTGTGGCACCTCCCAGTAAGCAAAGAGGAGGTGAGATAGGAATCTCTCCCAGTCTCTATAAGCGGTAGTGAACATCCAAAGACTTTTCATACCATTACACTATTTCTCAGTGGCCCCCAGATGGGGGAAAGGCGGTTCTGGGCTAGGAGACATTGGAGTGGAGGGTTAGCCCATAGTGTTTATAGTTTGTTTAAAGATGGTGGAGGTTTGGGGAGACATGTACCTGGCATAGGTGACCAGAGGGTCCGTCACTCCGTCGCAAGTTTAAAGGATCACTATAGTGTCAAGAACACAAACATGTGTTCCTGACCCTATAGTGCTAAACCCACCATTTAAGTGGCTTGCCCCCCTATAAAAGTTTAAAATTCACCTTATTTCCAGTGCCGCACATGTCTCTCAGAACTAGCTCCGCCCCTTTGTGATATCATCAAAATGGCCAATTTATAGCCAATCCAATGCTTTTCTGTAGGGGCCAAATGTTGTTTTGGCCAATCGGGGTGGGGGGGCAGGTACAGTGAGGGAGAGGATTGTAATTTTAAAAATACCTTCATTTATTTCCCCTGGTGGTCCAGTGTCTTTGATCCCTGGTGGTCCAGTCTGCCCTGAGAGACAGAGAGCCAGCACAGTCTGAAGCTCACACCCGGCAGAACTGCAGACTGTGCTGGCTCTCTGCCTCTCAGGGCAGATTGGAGGCGCCTCACACCCGGCGGCATACCGGGCAAGCCGCCTGGCCCTCTCCTTGTATCGGGTCCTTGTGACAAACCTGGGCTCTGTCGGATGTCACTCTGCCCTATAGAGAGTTAGGTGGCCGCGAGCCCTTAGGCGGTTGCCTAACTCACCAAATTAGAGAGCCGCCCCTGTCAGAGTGCCGTCTGGAGCCGTGGCTCCACTGCGGGCTATGGACGGGCCGGCCCTGATTATACACATTGTAATCAGGGGCTGATTTATACAGGTCAATGATTGACTGCATTGATTTCAAATTTGAATAGACATTTTCAATACTTAGCAGTTTTTTCCTATACCTATAAACTTTTTCACATATTTCAATTATAGATTAAGCACTTATTGTAAATAAATAAGAACAATGTTACACTAAAAGAGTTAAAGTAGATGGCTTTACTAAAATTACTAACAAGAACCATATGTGCTGAAATAAGGAGTATAAAAGCATACAATTACAAATCACAGACCAGCTACACAGGGGATACAACTGCACTTAGTTATTTTCTTTTATAGCATTTTCCAAATCTAATATGTCATGTCTATGATATTATTGAGATTCCAGGAGTAGTGAAAATCTAACTGTTGGCCTGGTGGATATTCTGAGCATTGTACGCCTAACTTTTTGGAACATTCAAAAAATACTACCTGTCGGCAACCTAATAGAAAACAATTAGGGAAGACTTTATGTGAATAGAGATTGTTGGTCACAAATATTTTGAAGGAAAACTCCAAGCATCATAACCACTACGGCATGCGCTACAAAAGTGCCCTGTCACCCCTTTAATGCCAGTTTCAGAATTATATGATGTCTTACCTGGGGTCTGTCAGATGCCATTGCACTCCCCTTACCTGCTACGTCAGACCGGGAGTCAGAAGTTGTCTTTCTGAGCTAAGCCTTGTTGTGCATAACATTGATATTAGGTGAGAGCGATCTGTTGACATTATCTGCATATGAGCTGGACCTTTCTGCTGGACTTAGTTCTGGAGTGCTGACAGAGTCTCCTACTTAGGAGGTTCCACTTCTCTGTGGGAAGTAATAGAGGAGGGAATGGCACCCAGATAAGAAGTCAAACTGCTCTAAAACAGTTTGAGTGCTTACAGTGGCAAGACACCAGGACACTCCTGGCACCATAAGCACTAGAGCACGGTGCACTGGTTATGATATTTGGAGTTTTCGTTTAACTGTTACAGGCAGTGGCGTACCTACCACGGTCGCAGGGGTTGTGGCTGTGACCGGGCCCCTCACTGCAGGGGGCCCGGCCGCAGCCACAACCCCTGCAACCGTAGGCCACCTAGATGCCACTCCCTCCGTGTTCCCTCTGTCAAAGGGGCCACCTAATGGCCACCTAATGGACCCCCCTGGTGGGCGGCAGAGTTCCTGTGACACGCGGCGAGGGAACTGTGTTCTCTCTGATCTGCTCCCTCGCGTGCCGTTTGCTGATGCCGGGAGCGGGAATATGACTTCATATTCCGGCTTCCAGCATCAATAGACAGTCCGTGAGGGAGCAGTTCAGAGAGAACACAGCTCCCTCGCCACGTGTCACAGGAACTCTGCCGCCTGCCGCACTGAAGTCCCACTGTACCCCAGGGACAGGTCCACGCCAGCTCTTCAGGTAGGAAGGCGGGGTGGACATTAATTATTAATAATTTGTGGGTGTATGTCTGATGTGTATGTGTGTGTGTGTCTGTAAGTGTATGTGTCTGAATGTGTATGTGTGTGTCTGAGTGTGTTTGTCTGTGAGTGTGTGTGTCTGAGTGTATGTGTGTGTGTTTGTAAGTGTATGTGTTTCTCAATGTGTGTATGTGTGTGTCTGAATGTGTATGTGTGTGTCTGATTGTGTGTATATATATGTCTGTGAATGTGTCTGAGTGTGTTTATGTGTTTGTCTATGAGTGTGAGTGTATGTGTGTGTGTCTGTATGTGGATGTGTGTCTCAGTGTGTGTATGTGTGTGTCTGTATGTGGATGTGTGTCTCAGTGTGTGTATGTATGTGTGTGTGTCTGTAAGTGTATGTGTGTGTGTATGTGTTTGTCTGTGAGTGTGTGTGTCTGAGTGTATGCGTGCGTGTCTGTAAGTGTATGTGTGTCTGTGTGTGTGTGTCTGTGAGTGTAAGTGTGTGTGTGTCTGTATGTATGTGTCTGTAAATATATGTGTGTGTATGTGTTTGTCTGTGACTGTGTGTGTCTGAGTGTATGTGTGTGTGTCTGTAAGCATATGTGTGTATGCACGTCTGTATGTATGGGTTCCTGTATGTGTGTGTATGTGTGTGTCTGTATGTATGTGTCTGCATGTTTATCTGTTTGTCTACATGTGTCCAGCAGAGACTAGTGGAGTAGGAGATAGATGTAAGGGGGGGTGAGGGGGCATGGCAATTTTCACACCGGGGCTCTGTGGTTTCTAGTTACGCCTCTGGTTACAGGAGAAACAGTGAAGATGGAGAAGACTTTAACTGCCAAAGGTATTCACACAATCCCAATATGCATCCAAATTGCACTATTTTTAAACCATATTTTAAAAATGAAGATAAAATGAATGTGATTCATAAATGTGTTTTATCAGAGTCTGTATGGGTATTTAAACAGATGTTTATTTAGTGAATACTTGCAAATATAATATTATGGGATATAATAGTTAATATGTGGGGCAACAGTTTATTGATCCAAGGAGAGATCTGACTGCCATTCTGGGGTCAAGAAGAATTACTTATTGCAATTTTGAAGGCGTTTCAAACTGGGTTTTTATTATCTTATTTTGGATCTACAGCAAAAATAGATGTGAGAAAGGTTGAACTTGATGGGTGCATGGCTCTCTTCAGCTATTTAACTATGGAATATTCAAAAGAACATCAATTAACTTCTCTATGTGCAAAATGAAAAAATAAAATAAAAAAAATAACACGAAAACATTCAGTAATGTGGTTTGCAACTGTTATCCAAAATATTTACTTTAGCACAATAGGAAAAATGTAGTACACTGCTCAGTTACTCAAATAATGTCTTCTGTTTGAACAAAGTGGATGACAAGCAGCATGAGCTGGATTTAGTAATTGTGCCTCTGATTTTTCTAAAATTCTTTCAGACACACAGCCAAGAGGTTACATATTCCCCTAAGAGTCAGCCTGGAAAGTCAGTCTCAGATTGCACCAGTAGCAGTTGTTCTCTCCACCCATTCCAGATCTCGGTCTATTTAACACAGCACCATTTATATTTCCTGAGTTTTGCTTCAGGAGTTTTGTGAGTTCAGAACCTGCATGCACTCTCAGAATGAATGGTATTGTGTTGCTGAGTTGTACTGTTACATTACTGGTAACATTTGTGAGCACAGCAAGGTATCCTTACCAGCAGGTCTTACAACACAGCAGGATCAGAGGTAGACAGCAAGGGTAAGACATATTTTATATTACATGGTTGGTGTAAAAATAAAGCACTTTTGCAAAGTCAGGGAAAATACAAGAATTAAGGTAAACAAGTAAAAAAAAAATCCTAAAGTCAAAACAGAGCAACAACGTATTATAATTTTGTAAAATGTGGAAGGATAATCGTCAGTAGCTAATTTTGAGTTAATGATGTTTGTTAAGCAATTTTAAAATGTATATTTTTCAAACAATGAAACAGTTATTAAAGAAAATGTGCCTCTATAAATGGGCATTGTTCAACTAAGTATTGAACACCACTGTCTGTTGTGTTAAGTACAAACAGACAATTTTGTTCCTGTAACAGTGAAAAAAACAGATACAATTAATAAAAATACATATTAAAACACTTAAATTTTAGATTTATGGATTATTGATAGATTGAATTATGATATATTACGACTAAAACTAATTTTCTGCACTTCTTTTCGAATCTGTTTACAATATCTAAATAGATGTGTTTGGAAACTGTATTAATTCATTTTCTGCATACTTTTTTTAGACCCAATGTATGTGCAGTCCAGAAACTGGCAGGGACGAACAAGCAATATTACACAAATTGTAAGCAGTGGTATCAAAGAAAGATTTGTGGCAAAGCAACGTAAGTGACTAAACTATTTTAAAGATTTGGTATGTGAATGTATTACACGAGCTGCAGGAAATGTATGAAATGCAGCATTATACAGAATTCATAAACATGCAATAGATATACACTGCAAAGGCAGGCATTATGCACAATAACTAGACATTAAATAGAATGATTAGAATATCTTAGAGTCATACTTCTGCTCTCTGGGTAGTAAGGAAAAAAAAGGAAAATGTTAGTATGTAAATACCAAATCAAATGTAAAAAAATGCAAAAAAGCAATGACATCCAAAATGTACCAGCATGATATGTTAACTTAAAAAAGTTCTGATGGTGAATTGGTTGCTGCGTTCAAAACAAGGCTGCATGTTGAAACAAGTAGCAAAACAAATAATCGTATTAAAAGTCTTAAGTCGTAAAAAAAAAAAGGCTTAACATGTTTTGTTTAATTTCTGGGATATGTGTGCTCAAGACATGGTTTTACATTGCAACAAAATAACAGTAATCTTATAGAAACATTTTATTTCGTTTTTCTTTTTAGGGTGTTTCATACTTTGCCTAAACCTGCTTTGGCATTACCCCAGCAGCAATTCACTGAATAACAAGTTGTAGTGAAATGAAGAGTTGCAGAATTTAGGCTAAAATAGTCAAGTTGGAACATTTTTACAGCTTGCCAATTTTGGGCTACATTTTCTAGTTCTGTTGCTATGTTACTATAACTCTGTTTAGTGAATAAATCCCCAGGACTGTCATGATATGTGTGAAGAAAACAGCATTTGATTTACTAACCCTACAGGGTACAGGAATGCAGCAGTTTTGTATTGCTTCCTTAAAGCTCCCTTTGGGACTGGAACACCAGTGCAGAGGTCTTTGTAGTTAAAGTCCTAATGTGTGCTTTAACCATAACCACTGAATAATACTTAAGACATCAACCACATGTTTCCTTTAAGTACTTCTG